CCGAGCCAGCAGAGCCTCAGGCAACACCTTGAGGACTCTTTTTATTAACTTAGCACAATTACACAAAATGTTGGGAGAATTCAGGTAGGATACTAGTGACCTAATCGCCACTAGGATTGGCCGGAGGAACCATTTGATCTAATGCTCTGACTCTAAGCAAAAGGGCAGAATGAGGTGTCACCCCACTCGCTGGGAGCTGCTGCTCCTGCCAGGAGTGTTTGCACATCACTGATACAAAGTGCAGCTACCACCTTTAGGCAGAATTTTCCCACAACTTTGCAGCCCGTATAAATAAATTTCACCCTTGTGTTGTGTGATGAGAATTTGTATATAACTTTATATAATGCTTGAATCAATTTAGCTCTGGTTCTTATTGCTAGTGGAACTGCACCCTTAGGCAGCCCAAATGTCTTGAGCCAGCACTTGTTGAGGTCAACAGCCTATTAGTTAACTAATAGATGCAGGTTGCAGCCCTTCAAAAATGTATCCTGGGTGCCTTCTCTTCTTCCACATTTGGCAGCTGCAGAAGGAGTAATGGACAGGCAGAGGTGACAAAGGCCCCACAAGGGCCGCATTGTCTTTATAGTCACTAGCTTCCTAGTCAAATGTAAAGAATTTTCTTTGATAGGAAATGGCCCAGAAACAGCTGACATTACTTCATCATCCACTTTGTAGAGCTTGGAGGTAAAATCACTCCCAAAATTCCATAGGCAGCATGGGGATACTAGGAGCTGTGATCCAAAAAAGTAACATTTCCAAGCTCTGCCTCCATAAAGAAGCAAACAATATACTCTACCCTGCTAGGAATTCACTGATGTTTGTCTAGCAGCAATGAGATAGTTGTACACTATTCATTCTTGTGCTGCCTTTTTTTTTTTGAGGCACATAGACTGCATACATGTGGAAAACATCCAGAAATTTACCAGAAGAATCCAGGACAAACCCAAGAGAGCTTGCCCCATTTGATCCATGGGAGAAAACCACATAGGCAGAAGGTATTCATAAGTTTGTGTTATTCTGTCTCCTCATGGCCCTTCCAAAGCTATATAGGATGGCAGTATTTGACATTTCCTAAATAGCAATAGATATGTGTGATTCATTTCTGAATGCACTTCACTGTTTATTCTCCTCGCACCTGTTTCAGCCCCACATTTATTGCTAGACTGTGAGACTTTAGCAGCCTTCAAGCTACTGCATTGCTGGTACCGAATCCTACTCCAGAATGAACAGGTAAGTGTCCCTCTCCTGGTAACTGTCAGGGGAATGGAGAAGTACGGTATCCATGTTTTGTCCCCAAGACACCATTGGGCATGAAATGGATTTTAGTGAAGCCAGGAGTGATACCACACTATACATAGTTATACAAAAGTATGTTTCCACTAGTGAAAGTGTACATTTTATTTATTATTATTAAAAACTATAATTATGTACTGTTAAGCCAATTCCCACCTACAGTGCCTCTCCCTGAGTTTAGAAATACCCAGACCCTCCTTCTGATGGCACTGTAGGGCTGTCTGTGCAGTTTGTCCAAGGTCTCACAGGTGGCAGGGCACATAATCCCATTAGCAACACATGTTCTTGGTCTTCTCGGTTGCCCCTTATCCTCGGGAGACACACTCAGGGTTGGAACTCTCTGCCTTTACTAGAACAATCCAACATACTCACCTATACTAGCTATTATTATTAATTCCTTTTATCTCATACCTTCCATTTAACGGCCTTGGTTTTCTTATTTTATTCTCACAAGAGACCTGTTGTCACATTCTCCCAGCCTGACCTACTTCACAACAGTCCTGTGAGGTGAATGAAGCTGAAAGAATGTGACATCTGAGAGATTACCCAGTAAATTTCACAGCTTAGTGAAGACTTGAAAACAGACCTCTCAAGTCTCAGTCCAATAATCTTAACCAGTACGCCTCAGACTCAACGCAGACTTGACTATATGTCTTTACACATTTCTTCCTTCCATTCACTCTCCTGCTTCTACAGTTAAGGGTGAAATCAAAGTCTGATGTACTGAGAAAACAATAGAAGCATTAGGAAACCAGTGGAGGGAACAGAAGGGGCTGAAGACAGAGAGAGAAGGAGCTGAGACGAGAACTAGTTTTGTATTGAATGCACCTAGTGGAGCTGAAGATACTTTTGTCTACAAATGCTTCAACTGTAAAAAAAAAAAAAACATATTTACAAACACTGGAAACAGTTTGCACCCATAACAGATACATATAGATCAAAATGCTGTAAAAATGTCATAAGTCTCTGATCTCTCTATAGAAAGAAAGAAAGAAAGAAAGAAAGAAAGAAAGAAAGAAAGAAAGAAAGAAAGAAAGAAAGAAAGAAAGAAAGAAAGAAAGAAAGAAAGAAAGAAAGAAAGAAAGAAAGAAAGAAAGAAAGGAAAAGCCAAGTAGATTCTGTCCTGGAAGTGTTTATTCGTTGGACAAGTGGTGAGCATGTGGCAATGCAATTGTGAGACCTCCAGGGCCATTAATATATCAGAGACAATCAAGATTTTGAGATTGGGACCTGGCAAAAACTGCAGCAGCACCTTTGGTGTATAATTATTTATTTGTTTTAAATTAACAAAATATATTTGACACATAACTTTTAGATCAGATACTGGTTATCAAGAAGCATATTGAAACTTTGGTTGGAGTCCCCTTGTAAAGTGTTTAAAACTCTCTCTCTCTGTCTGTCTCTCTCTCTCACACACACACACACAAACACACCTCAGTATACAGATACAAGAATACAAAACATTAATGCTGATACGTGTTCATCTATGCATGTCATTGAACACATTGCAAGACATTATTGGATAATTTTCTTGGAACAATAAATACTGCATTTTAATTGCACTTTTTAGAGCTGCAAAATCTACAGAATCAAATGCAGAACTAGCATGGAAAAGAGTTAGAGGCATAAAGATGGAGGAACAGTAAAAGGGTCAGTAGAGTAACAGGGACAAAGAATAATTTAGATCTGCTCCATCCCTAGCCAAGTGCATAATTTTCTGTGGAAAGAATAAGCTGCACAAAATGGAGGACTGATTTAAAAAAACCACTCTCAGCAGAATAGCGGGGAGGCAGCAACAGGAATTCACTTGACCTTCACGAAAAATAATGTAGATATAACATATAAAAATTAGTAGCACAACCATCTAGAACAATTTCATCCTTAAATTCATTGGGGGGATGTATAATTTTTTCCCTAACATAAAGATGTAAACAAGATTGTAAACAAAGGCCTTACTTAGAATATACAGTATTGTCAATTTGAAACAAATAAATAATACTTCAAATAATCACAATTTGTGTTGTGCACCGGGTGCAGAGGTCTTTCCTTTTTGCCAGCCTTCAAATGCATCTCAGCTTTCCTGAGTCAGCTGTTCTAAGGCCAAACTCATTTGTTAATCGATCATCATGTTACTGATACCTTTTGTTGTCCTAGCCACATCCTTTCATCATGAGCTATGATCAATATTTCCTTTGAATTTTCCACTTGCCTGCTTTACTTTGCTGTACCTTTCAGAATCTGACTTAGCTTCTCAGAAAGAATGTACTGTGCACTACTTTTTCACTTCAATTCTGCTAAACATTTCAGAAGCATCTCTAGAAGAAAGGCCCGAAGGCAGTTACTGAATAGCCAGCTAGAGTGAGCCACTCAATCAATCCCAACGCTGTTGGTCAACATTTCTATAAGTTATATCACTCCAGTGGGGCCCTCAAGTTGGAACTAACAATTGAGTTTAGGCCCATATTTACATTGTGGGTTTTTGTTGTCAAGTTGCACACATTCATGGCTTCCCACAAAGAATACTGATTACTGCCATGTTGTGAACATTCTTCTTTTAGAGAAGGCAAGCCCATTCAAGAGGTCTGAAGGTACAACTCCCACAGACCTCTGCGAAGTAGGCATATCAGTTACAATAAGTGCAGAAGTGCAAACCTCAGCCCCTTTGCAGTCAGGTAGTAAAAAAAAAAACTGGTGTAATCTGGTCATGAAGACTTCATGTGGAACACACATGGTCCCCACCATGACACAGAGAGCCAAAGTTGACATGGCATTAAGTGTGTTTTGATATTTAACATGCATGTTAAAACAAAGAATATAGTAATGGAGGTAGTGTGGCTGATTGTTATCCCAAATGCAAAAAATCCCTTATTGGCATCTGCAGGGATAATTTAGTCCTTCTTCCTCTGCTCCCATCCTGAGAAAGTCCTCATTAGGGATGAGTTCCCCCTAAAGAGAAACACCACTTTCAAAAGAAGGGCTCACCAGAGATCAAAAAAAGGGGTGAGATTAAATTCCTTCTGATCTCTTTTATCACTCACTTCCCCTCCCTTATTTGATTCCATTTAATTAAAAAATTATTTAATGTGATGACCCTCAATTACACTATGTACAATATTCATAGGACCAAGCAGGTGAGGACTCAGCAGTTTTAGAAAGGAGTAAGTCTTAGTGCTAGATCATATACAATTTAGATCCACCAAAGAAGGCAGAAGCAGATACAGTATTATTTTAAAAACCCCAAACTGGAAGAGGAAAATTCATAAGAACTGATTGTGTGTTTCACAGCAGGAGCTTGCGGCTCCTGGAGTTTGCAAATTAGATTTTTTGGGGGGGTTTGGTGGTTGATCTTTACGACTTAAGTACAGGATTCCTTTGAAGACTGATTTTTCAGACATGAAAGACCGCCTCAGACATGTCTCTCCCACACTAGCATGCCTTCTATAACATTTGTTTCTGCCTTCAGTTCTGGTCAAGTGCAAGATTAACCTGATCTGTTGGAAGATCTGGAACAAATGAGCTAGAACAGATAATGTGGCAGTGTTCCCCACCCCTGAGATCACATCACAATCAGGATTCCCTCCCTTCACTTTATCTAGCGCAGCAAGGGCACTGAGCTAGAGCAGATAATGTGGCAGTGTTCCCCACCCCTGAGATCACATCACAATCAGGATTCCCCCCCCCCCATTTTATCTAGTGCAGCAAGGGCACTGATATTGTGTCCCAAAACAACTTAAAGGCACCAAAGCATTTGCTTTAGATCACGCACTGGGCAAATGTTATGCCAATCACCTCATCTTGGATTGAGCAAGTATGAGGGCAAAGTTAAGGAACACTTGTCTCCTCCAGGAGGTGGTCAGCATTGTGAAAGCTGATAGTCTTGAATCATTGCTAAGGAGGAAAAATGTGTCTTTGGTAATTATAGTAAAAAGATCACGGACACTTGTAGGGCATGTACCAATGCTATAGACTTCAACTAATGTAATTCTGGCTAGAGATTCAGAATTGCTATATGAAAGAAAGAAGAAATTGGTTTTATGTTGGCAGAAGCGTGTTGCAATAGAGTAAAAGATAGCACCTGAAAGCGGTGATTCTGAAGTTTTGTTTCCTTTTTTTAAAAAAAGTTTTTACATCTCAATTTATTGTCAAGTTGCCTTTCACAGATTATATGTATGGAGGGAGTTCCATGCAATCAGGAAGAAGAAGGCTTTTATTTTTGAGCCTTCTTCTGATGTCACATGCCTCCCCAACCTGTGCCCCACCCCAAAAAACAAACAAACAAACAAAAACAACATACATTGACTGTGAACATATGAAACGCAAAGCCTGTGGGATTAGAACTCTACACCATTCAGGTTCCACACAGTCTGGAACCTTGAGGGGAAGGCTACATGTGAGATATGTCCTTTCTTTCAGACATCTTTGTGCATCATGGATGTTGGGTTTGAGAGGTGGGCAGGGCTTGCCGTGGGGCTAGATCAGCATCAATCACATAATTACATAAACAGAGAAAATTAATAGTTGAAAGACAAGTGAAAATTATCTTAAATTATACATATCTCCTTATTTGTGCTTGTTCTGATTTTATTATATGCCAGTCTTGGACAATTACATCTCATGTTAGTGGAACTGATGAATGAAGTTAATACGAGTTCATTCAGATACCCAGAAACACAGCTTGATTGTCCATTTTCCTTTCCAGCAGTTCCTTTAAGCTCTTGTTTCTATGTTGAAAGTATAGGTAGTCAGAGAAAGACTGAGTGAGTCTATTATTTTCAAAGTGACCAAAGCTCACGTGTTCCTCACTGTTGCCCACAAAGTCCCTCTCCCTTTGTTTTTCTTCCCTTTGGCTTTCTTTCTTCTCCCCAAGTTTTCCATTTTGCATTTTCTCTTTCCTATCACCATAGGACTCTCTCATTCCGTGGTGTGATTGGCTGGGAAGAGCCTGCTTGGAGTATTGCTTGTCGCTATGGAACATCTCAGGGCTGTACCGCTCGGCCCCATAGAAGTTGTCTTCCTCTTCCTCGTGGCACGAGCTTCCTTTGGCACTCTCACCATCAGAATGAAATGGAAGTCCTTTGCCTTGGCCTTTTCGGGACAGATCAAAGGGCTCTTCCTGTTCCAGCTCCCTGGACACATCCGTTTGTGATGTTCTTATTCGTTCCCTCCCAAGTCCTAGGAGAATTTTAAAAACAATTAACTAGTTAACAGGTATATACACAAGTCTGCATTTGTTTCATAATTCATTTCTGTCTGTTTATGTGCTTATCTTGCAAGCGGTGGGACAGGGGGTGGCAAATGGATTTTCTGCTGGTTGCTTGGCATCTCCAGCACTGTGAAAGCAACATTCATTCCTAGTAACTTAGCACTAGTTTTTAGATTATTGAGGAAAATTATGTGTATGACTCAGTTTTATGATACTACAACAACAACGTTTTACTTCTTGATGTATAATTTGGTAACAAATTGAGATTTTTTTAAAAAATAGAAAGGGGAAAAAACTTTCCAAATCACTGTTTCGAAAGTCAATTAAAACCCATCTCTTCAGAGAAGCATTTCTGTATACTCTTCCCTTATGATTCTCTATGATGTTGTTTATTTTTAATTTGTTTTTGATTGGTATTGATGTTTGCGGGGTGGCGGCTATTTTTAAAATTATATTTGTTTGGTTGGGGATTAGGTGTTTTTATGTTTTTATCCATGTAAGCTGCCTAGAGTAGTGGCATGCCACTAGATGGGCAGGTTAAACATTTAATTAAATAAACAAATAAAATAAAATCTTAATTATGATGTGTGAATGCCAGATTTTACATGAGAGACCCACGGAGATGTTGCTCTGTCCTCTTAATGTCTCTGGGCTCTTTGTTCCACCCTGTGATTGCACCAGCGATGCACAGGTACCCTTGATTTTGACCTGTGCACGTCTTACAATAATACGTAACTGCATGTCGTCAGGTCAGCTCTGACTTACGGCAACCCTTTTCAGGGTTTTCAAGGTAGACAGTATTCAGAAGTGGTTTACAGTTCCCTTCATCTGGGACACCCTGGGATTGTGGAGCTTGCCCATGGCTACACAGACTGGTTCTTTTCTTAGGAAGCACAGTGGGGAATTGAACTCCCAACCTCTGGCTCTGCAGCCAGATACCTAACCCCCTGAGCTACCCAGATAGTTCATGCACGTCTTAAAAATATAAATGTGTGTGTGTACTTTTATATATGCATGTATGCATGTACACACACATGCACAATGAGCACAAACACAATGAGAACAAAATAAAGAACTAGCAATTTCATACCATTTTATGACACCAGAGCCTGAAGTAGCCACCTAATTCTCCCTAAAAACAGATCTGTCTCTGAATAGGTACATAAAGTGCCTAACTCTGATATCCAACCACTTTTCAGATGCTGCTTAGATGATTTTGTATCACTGAATCTCATGCAAAATCAGCTCAGATGTCATTTATTTACCTTGAGAACGAAATCCTCTTTCCATGACGCCATGTTTGACTTTCATATGCCTTGTGAGATTCCCTTTCAAGGTGAATTTACTTGGACAGTAGAGACATTTGAATGGCTTGCTGTCTGAATGCAAGTGCATGTGCCCCATTAAATTATGCATCCGATTAAATTCTTTTCCGCACAGCTGTTGAAAGACCAATGACAAAGTGATTTATTATGGAAGGAGATTTTCCAGAATAGATTGTTTTGTTTTATTCAAGCACAACCTAATGTAGTGGAGACAGCTTCTGGAGAGTTCTGCAGCTTAGCATTTAAAAACTGTGACTATTTAAAAAAAACAATTCAGCCATTTTTTCTTTCTGCATAGACCCACCAGGGGTCCAGGACTATTCCTTCCTTAAGTCTGGATATATGAGTAAACAGACCTATTGAATTTCAATTACTTATCAAGCTACATTTTTATCCTATCTTTCCTCCAGAATGCTCAAGTATATAGCTTTCTTCCTACTTCCTCTTTATCTTCACGATAACTCTGCATAGGGCGAAATAAAGTGACTGACTCAAGCACCTCTCATGATTCATTAAGCCCAGATTTTCTTTATCCATGACTAACATCCAGCCGTGATATCACACTGGCTGAAAGTGCAGCATAAGAAAGTGAGATATGGAGGCTTCTGCAGACTGAAAAGTCCGCTTTAAAATTGGTGTTGTCATATGAAAAGCGCTTAGCCAATATGATATCCTATATTGTTGATATCATATTTTAAAGTCCTTTATAACGTCTGTTGGGCCATTGAGCAGAAGCCTTGGCAGACGATCAAAGAACAAGAACTCAGAAACATGAAGAATGGCAAGAGATTTTAGAAATAAAATTGCCCCCAGTGTTTTTCAGCAAATCAGAACTGAGCTGAAGTCCTCTTAGTGTTCGTGTCAAAGATGGGAAGAACCGCATGCCTGAGACGCCAGGCTTTCAAGCAAAGAATGTGCTTATGTTCTGAAGACCAGTCACAAAACAAAACAAACGAATTTGCAAACTATGGCAGGTGAAGAAAGCTCCTGCTGTGACAATCACACACAATGAATACTTAAGGAAGCCCCTCTTTTAACGATGGGCTATTTGTAAGGCGGAGTTTAACCCTAAATGTAGATGGGCATTTAATTTGGGGACTCAGTCTATAACAGACCAAACTCATACCTGTCATTGTAGCTGAATACCTTCCAAAATATTAGAGGGACTGTGTTTATATTAAAAGGTGGCAAATATTATTTTCATGTCAGGTGCACCTTATTAAGGATCAGGCAACAAGTTCTGGGAGAATGGCAGCTACTAGTCTATTCTACAGAAACCGTTTGAGGTTTGGATCTGGAAATCCACAAAATAGATGTTTTTAAAACAAAAAAGGGGGGGGGTACAATTTAATTTACTGGTACCCTTGAAAACATAACATAATATAAAAACTAAGGATTTTAATCTGAATTCGTCCATGGGCAAATCTAGGCTCACTGCACTGAAATCTATTATGTGAGAAATACTACAACCCCATTCTGAAACGCAAGCAAGCTTTGTGCTTCTCCCTCACTCAGTGCTGCCTGGTTCAAGGAGATGGTTTTCCCATTTTCTGTGGAGATGGTTAGAATCTGGACTTCTACTAATAAGGGAAAGAATGCCTGGAATGCTGCAGGAAAATAAAACGGATGAAGAGGACGCTTCTGCATTTCCTCTCCAGGCACCAAGACGCCTCTATTTCTTCATTAATCTTTGATTTGGCCATGCTTCTGTAGTCTGTGATTCAATATAGCCCCACCCAGACCCATTCTTTTCACAACTGAGCATTTTCTAAGAGTCCCTAAAAAGTGCCTTTGCTCTTTTGGGTGTGTAGATTGTCCTCTTTGTTGTGAAACACACACATATACACACAAAGATTTTGGATGCTATGGAAAAGAAGGAGGTTTGATGCAATCAGATTTTGGAAATGTGACTGTTTTGGAATTCCCCCTCTCCTATTGCTTTCATTTATCGTTTTCAGTGGGAGGGAATGAATTCATACAGTCTGCGACATTGCTCTAAGTATGGAGCTTAATTAGGTTAAACAATCCAAGGATGCAGAATTTCTCTGATTCCAGGGATTTTATGCTCCTGTGACCGTCCCTTCCCAGTATAGGAGCTCTTGTATCAGAGTGGTGAAGGATGCACATCTTCCCAAAGGGGAATGGTGAGGTTGGGGGGATGCAAGTTAAGTTCTCCTCCTCCAAGATCACATCTGAATCACTAACTTTAATCTGTGATTTTTAGTCTGCCTTATGACCCCCAGGGCACTGTCTTGTTGCCACAGGATCCCATTGTAATATTTTTAAAATATAAAATAAAAGCCAAATAAAACAAAAAAGCAGGAAATCACAATAAAGCAGGGAAAAAAACGGTCTGGCCAAATAACAATGCATAAATAATTAAAAAATGGCACTGGAGCTGATACAATTGCAGAGTTGGCACCATTTGCATGTCCATGGGGAGGTATATAGTTGCAGCACTACAGCTGAGAGGGCACTCTTCCCTTGTTGACATGTAGCAGATGTTAAGGTTGCTCTTCTGTTCACCAAATAATGGCAGCAGGATATCCTGTCTTAACAGTTCCATGGTGCATTTTCTCTTCTGCCCAGCCACCTCTCATCTCATGGAGGATGAAAATGTCAACATTGCTTTTATAGAAATGCAGACCCCATTCTACACTCACTGACGTGGATGGTGAGGTTGATACATTTCCATTTTATGCAAGATCTAGTATTGTCAACAACTACAATATATGCCGATGTCCTTTGGTTCAGATGGCTATAAAAAGTATTAGGAAATCCAGTGAAGGCTGGTGGCTCTGACTTAACAGGGGCAAAAAATAGCTTTATGAAGTTCAGAATAAAACCTAGTGCAGATCCACCACCCTTGTATGTTGAAGCTATGTTAAACTGGAACAATAGATTTCAGAACTCAGACCCCATGCAAATAAGTGTAATCTATTAGGAAATCCAGTGAAGGCTGGTGGCTCCGACTTAACAGGGGCAAAAAATACACTCCACACTTTAAAGGAGTTTTTTGAGATGGGGGACAGAGCTCAACACCTTGGATAGCTTTATGAAGTTCAGAATAAAACCTAGTGCAGATCCACCACCCTTGTATGTTGAAGCTATGTTAAACTGGAACAATAGATTTCAGAACTCAGACCCCATGCAAATAAGTGTAATCTTTTCCCAGAGCTTGGAAAACTTCCTTTTGGGGACCACAATGTACCAACCAACTGCCCACATGAGAGCTGTCATAACAAACAAACAAACAAACAAACGAAGGAAGGAAGGAAGGAAGGAAGGAAGGAAGGAAGGAAGGAAGTTTTACCATTTTCTAATATGGACATAAAGGTTCTTAAGCCTCTGCCAGCAGTGACAGTAGAACTGAGTCAATGGCCCAGAGTTATTTTTAAAGAATATAATTAATGTGCTCAAGAGCCACCTCAGTTGCATTCTTGCATTAGCTGGAGGCAACACTTGGAAGCAAAGATTGATTGGGGTGTGTGTGTGTCTTATTGTTGCTTTTTAATGAAACATCTGGGCAGACTAATGTGAAAGACAGCAGGTAGCAAGGCTTGTTGAAAGAAAAGACCAAATGGGTGAGGAAACATGAGTAACAAAGGTTTTCTTCTGCTCTCTGGCCACATACGACCTCTGTGTGGTTGTGATTAGCTTGGTAGGAAAGCCGAGTGTTTTCTTTTGCTCTGAGGAACAAAGTAAAGAAAACTGCAGCCTGCCGTGAGGCAGAAAGGCCACTGCTGTGCTGTCCTTCCCCTGTATTCTTCTTCTTAAAAAAAAGATAGAGAGGGAGAAGGCTTAATAAGAAGGGTGTTCCTTTCCTGAAAGTAAGAGAGAGGGAGGGAGAGGGAGAAAGACTGTAAACTGTCCAAAAAGGACCGTGAGAAAACAGGAAGCTCAGAAAAGTACAAGAGAAAGCAAGATGAAATCTATTTGCAGGCCATTCCCTGGGGATACACAGGCCATTGTTAAGCGAGTGGCCATACAGCTATATCCTTCCTTCTGCTGAGGAGGAGCGTAGTGCCAAAAAGTGGCTATCTGGTCATTGCCTTAACTTACTGAATGCCCGCCAAAAAGACTTTAGCTAAGCCCAGATTCCTCAAGGGGACCTTCCAGTCACGGGAAAAAGGACGCCAAAAGCAAATCCTTAGGATAATTTGGATAATTCGTTGTTTTCTGAAATCCACAGGCTGCCTCGATTTCTTTCTGATTTACGCCCTCTTTCAACCATTTATTTTTGTAATTTACCAGTTGCCCTTTCTAACTGGAGTTTTATAGTTTAACGCTAGTGCAGGGAATAAAATTAGCATATTAACACACACACACACACACACACATGCACACACACACACACACGCACACACACGCACACATTTAGAATGGCATAGGTGGTGGTTAGAACAGGGCCTCCCACACCAGACCATTTTGATTGGTTCATTAGATTTTTGTGCCGCTTTGTCCAAAAGGCTCAAACTCAGTTTCGTAAAAGTGGACAGAATATCATTTTTTCCCCAAAAGCTATTTTACATATTAAAGTACTTCAAAACATTAAGCGGTCAAAAGTGTACGTTGTCTGCGTAAGCTCAGGGCCAGTTTTAGGACTGAGGAAAAGTGCTTTCTAGGCTCCTTCCTCCATCAGCAAGCCATGAGAGGCTTGCCAGCCGTGGCCCTTTTTGGTGGCAGCAGTGTTTCAAGCAGCACTGAAGGGCAGTGGCCTGATGCCATCTAAATTTCCTGCACCACCTGTGGCACAGAATGCTTGACCCAGCCAGCTGTCTGGTAACTCTTGAGATCAACAAACTAGAAAGAAAATACTGTGGTGTAAAGCAGGACCAGAGAAACTCTGAAGGCTCTTGCCAGTGTTCTTGGGCCATGGTAGCTGGCTCCTCAGAACAGCTGAGGGAGGGTGCCAACTCTGTATAACCAAGCAGTTTATGCAATAAAGGGCTAAATTCAATGGTTATTTGTAACTACCACTGAATGAATGGGACCTACTAAGTTAATGATTGATGGGAGTCTAATTATTAGTCCTAACTCCAGTTACGACTAATAATTGAATTGAACCTCTATGTAGCTATACTGTATAAAGAGTTACTACTTGGAAAAGACCTTGATGTTAGGAAAGTGTGAAGGCAAAAGGAGAAGGGGACGACAGAGGATGAGATGGTTGGACAGTGTCATCGGAGCTACCGGAATGAATTTGACACAACTCCGGGAGGCAGTGGAGGATAGGAGAGCCAGGCGTGCTCTGGTCCATGGGGTCACGAAGAGTCGGGCACGACTAAACGACGACATGTAAAACAGAGAGCTCGTGTAGGTGCTGTGAGGTGGTAAGGAAACCATGGGCTATCACAGAGATGTAGGAAGTCCTCCATTGCCACAGGATACAAATATTGCAGCACTGACCAAATAGGACACAAATATCACATGGGAATCTAGACTTATCTACAAGGTTATTTATTACCCCATCACATCTTAATAGCCTGTGTAATGCTTGGTGCGTAAATGTGTAGCCATAGACTCTGAAAGGTAGTATGCTAGGCCCATTGGGGAATGTTTCTACCTATGTGAAAGGGCCCTTGGTTGCTGAGTGACAGGATATGCACCGTTGCACATTACTCAGTGCTAGCCTCACTGTTAAGCAGACTTAAGCACCAATGGCTAGAAGGGAAGGATTAAGGGTGAGCTGTAGTAGGACAGAACTATATATACTGTGTGGCTTGCCTTGCATCTCCTAAGCTAGCCTGCTGCCCTCTAGGGCAGGAGATGTTGTTGTTGAATTTGGGGCAGTGGAGGGTGTTGTTGCATGAAATGTTTTTTAGATCACTTAATGTATTTTTAATTATTACTATAGTCTAATTGTTTTTTAATTGTATAATCCATAGTGTTTTAAATTTTTCTTATTTTAACTTTTTGAGCCACCTTGAGTCCCCTCATCAGGAGAAAGGCAGCTTACAAACAAACAAACAAACAACTAAACAAACAAATTTCATCATTGAAGTAGAATTTGACAGGTGATTTAGTTGCATGTGGGAGATGAAATGGGAAGGAGCAATCTCTTGTCCTTCAGCTCAGGCAGCAAAATATCTTAGGCCACTGTAGAAGTTACTGTTACATGCATACAAACTGCATAACTTTTCATATGGCCTTGTTCCATATGGAAGATGCAGGACATTAATACAGTATTTTGTGTTCCTTTTACTAGGCCAAGATGAAATGCTCATGCCCATTTATCCTTCGATACTGGAACCTAAAATGTAAATTCATCTTAACAGTATTTACTGCTTTTGCTAAATAGCTTCCTGCCCTATTTGAGAAGCAAATGTTCAGTGGTGGAGTTAGAGGACAACAGCTTATTTGGAGGTAACTCTACCAATTAAGCGGGGATATTGTTGCTGACATGGGCAAAGAGCAGGATTTCACATGCATATTCTTCTATAACTTGCCATAAGGTTTGGGCGATTTATGTGAAAAAGCAGAGGCACATCTCCGAGAGACTGATTTTTATGACATGGTCAGACAAGTCAAGCTGATGTTTTAACACATTTAATTTAATATTGTTTCAGATATGATGCCGCCTTATCCAATTTAGATACTTCCTGCCTTAAAGCACAGACAGCCTTTGTGTTTTTGCACAGATCAAAAGTGCAGCATGCATGAATTGATTCGTGTTTAACCGGTATATCAAATTGTTAAGCATCCTTGACCTTCCTTTGGGATGAAATGTGCTACGCAAATGTCAGATATATTTATCATGAGCAGACTAGCAATTACACTAAGTGCTGTGAAAATGCAATTTCAAGATGAGAAGTAAAACTGAAAGGAAATAAAATGATAAAGTCTTTGATTCCGGTTTCAAAGATTTCTCATTTAGGGTAAGGACATCACCAAAGAAATGCATAACTAGGTCATGCCTCATGTGTGTGTGCATGTGTGCGTGCATGTGCGCAGACAGACACCAACCTATTCAAGCAACAGGATTAAACTGCACTGATGCAGGGGGTGGCAGAGTACACTACCCTTACCCTTTCTGACCCTGCTCCTACATGTGGAGAGCAACAGAGAGAAGAGGAGAGATGCGCATGGAGACTCTGTGTGCAATGGGAAACCCTTTCCATGGAGGCCCTTCACATAGAGAGGGCATGATGTCTTATATCATTGTTATATTTAATTTTTTTTTGTTTTATATGTTGTACACCTCCCAGAGTAGTCTATTGACTAGATGGGAGGGATATAAATCACCAACCTATTCAAGCAACAGGATTAAACTGCACTGATGCAGGGGGTGGCAGAGTACACTACCCTTACCCTTTCTGACCCTGCTCCTACATGTGGAGAGCAACAGAGAGAAGAGGAGAGATGCGCATGGAGACTCTGTGCAGTGGGAAACCCTTTCCATGGACGCCCTTCACGTAGAGAGGGCATGATGTCTTATATCATTGTTATATTTTAATTTTTTTGGTTTTATATGTTATACGTCTCCCAGAGTAGTCTATTGACTAGATGGGAGGGATATAAATTAAGTAAGTAAGTAAGTAAGTAAGCAAGCAAGCAAGCAA